AATCCCAGCTCTGCCACTTATAGACAGCATCCCAAGTGCAAGAATCTAACCTCTGTAGGCCTCAGTCTCACCGTCTGTAAGATGGGAGCATTATGGTGCCTGCCTGGATGGGTCATGATGAGCATTCACAGAATTTGTGGAAAGCACTCAGCACAGTGCCTGGCATGTGGGAAGCACCAGGAAATAAAGAACCACGCTGTGGGCCTCAGCCTCCTGACACAGATGACAACACAGGTACCGTATCTTGTGCACTGACAGGTGACACCGGAGGTGGTATTTCACACAAGAACTCCCTGCATCCTCAGCAGACCCCTGAGCCAATGTTACCAAGGGCAGAGTGAGGCTTAGAGAGGTTACGAGATGTGCCCAGGAACACACGGCTAGAAGAGGCAAGGATGAAGAGCAGGGCCCAGGAGGAGAGACCACGGCTCCTTCTTGGGTTTCTGAGCAGCTCCGCAGTAACAGAGGCCTGGGCCCAAGTCCACAAAAGCCACAGTGTCCAGAAGTAGAAGGGGCTTTAAGAAGCCTTGGGGCTGCAGAGACTCTCATCCCCTGCCCGAGGCCCAGAGAGGTATGTTTTGTCTCCAAGAGGATGCAGAACACCCCCACCCCACTCTGAAGAACAACCAGGGGCATCATGGTTTGGAGGGCTTCTCTCAGGAGGGTTTGGGGGGCAAAAACCTAGAGGTGCAGCCTTAGAAGACACACCTTCTTGCTCCACTCTGGCCACAAGGACAAGCACTCTCAGTTCCAGCTTGCACAGTGGGGCCTGTGGTGAGCCCATGTCATGGTGGGAGCGCAGGCGCTAGGAGACCCTCACTGATCACCAGGACGCCTATCTCAGCCTTCTCTCAGGAGGCTGCCTGCTGTGGGCAGTGGAGTGGGAGTGGTTTCAGGAGGCAAATGTCTGTAGGCTGCTCTCCCTGTGCTGTTCTAGAATCTGCCTAGAATCTAGAGTGCATTCACTCGGCCCATGTTCAAAAAAATCTCAAGATGGAAACTCAGGGCAAAACGGATGTTTAAAACTCTAGAACTGGTGCCCAGGGACGTATGTTAGCCTCTGCATGCCCTTGGTCACTTACAAGCAGTGTGATTTTGGACAAATTACTACCCCTCTCTATGTGTCACTTTCCTTCATAAAATAGAGATGACAACACATGCCTTCCCTGGGTCGTTGTGAGGATCAAATGAGGGAAGGGTTCAATGAAGGCTGACTCTGTGTGGGGTCCCAGCAGACAGAGCACAAATGTAAGGCAAAAGATGCTGTGTGCGTGGCCAGAGGCAGAGCAAGTCAACCCTCCACCCCAAAATCCACAAGCTGGCCCAGAAATTCAGCCATTTATTCTGCAATAGGCACTCAGTAACTACCGACCTAACCAATGCTGAGCTCCACAGATGGGAGCTGGGGACACAGAGGCAAGTGAGACCTTGTCGTCACTGCCTCCAGGAAGCCCATAGACTTGTAGGAGGGATATCTATAGAGCCTCCTAATCCAGGGAGAGGAGGTCTGGAGGAGGGGGCTCCTGGCCTTAGTCTGAAAAGACGAGCAGGAGAGTCGGTGAAGGTAGGAATCTAGGCAGAAGACTCAGCATGTGCAAAAGTGCAAAGGAGAGAAAGCTGGGGATATGTCATGGGACACAGGGGTTGGGGTTGGGGCTGGTGTCTGAAGACAGATGGGAGGGCATCGATTTCACAGACAGGGCAATGCATCGGTGATTGCTGAGAGGTTAGCCTAGCCCAATGATTTTCAACCGGTGTGCTGCAAGAATTTTTAAAACATTCAATACCTGACTAGTCAGGGGAACTGACCTCTCTTCCCTGAGACTGTCAAATAAAAAAAAAATGACAACAGTCAAAATTATACCTATTTTGTCAGATCAGCAAAAAATATTTTAGTGTGCTGCAGAATTTTAGTAATTAGTTTGTATGTGCCAAGATGAAAAAGATGAAAACTTGCTGGCTTAGCCTACAGGCTTATCATTTTGATTTTCCAGGAAGAGCACAGGTCTTGGATGGTCGCTTCAAGCCCGGGCTTTAGAAACCTATTCCTCCAGTCAGGCGGGCTCCCAGCCTCTCCTTGGATGCAGGTTGCTAGGCAAAGGCCCCGCCCCCACCGTGGCCTGGCCTCCGTGGGCCCGCCCACAGCTGCTGCTCACGCCCTCTCCTGGCCGCGCCGTGCAAGTGCATGGGAGTCTGGGAATGCCAGCCTGGGGCCTTTCCAACATCCTCCTGGCTCACAGCCACACCTTGGTCATTTGGGATGAGCAATGCCCACCCTGGCCACCGTTCTCTTTGCTGTCCATCTTTTTTTGCCTGAGCCTGGCTGACTCCACCCCTGAAGAACCTAGTCTGGGCCAGCCAGCGGGGGAGAAGAGGCTGGAAAGGTGGACAGGCAGGTTGGTTTAAAGGTGCTGGTCTTTACTGTGAGAGCAGTAGGGAGCCATGAAACACGTGAGCAGGGAAGTAACATGCGCAGATCTGTTCTTTTGATGCCCGTTCTGTGGCTGGAGAACAGCCTGGAAGAGCAGGCTGTTCAGGAGCTGGGTTGGATTAACTGGAAAGGCTATAGGGATCAGGGGTCCACTGACCCCTCCAGGGTAACCATGGTGAGAGCCCACAGGAAAGGACAGAACTTGGCCTTTCACACCAGGGGTAAGGAAGGCAGGCCTCCCACCCTGCCCCACAGCTGGGTCTTTTCAGCCCAGCAGGCACATTCAAGGCTCTAGGAAAGATGAGGACCAGCCTCTGGAGATTCATCAGCTAACAGGCCTATTGGAGAACTGAGCAATCTTCCCATTCCTCGAAGGGGATATGGATCCCTACAACAGGGCAACAAGACATTCTTCTCACCAGGCCAGAGCTTCCCACCTCAAACCTCATAGGCTAACTAAACATCCTGTTTTCTTACATTCGTCTGGCATGGTCACAGACTGTCTTATACCTCTCTGTGTGCCTTCATCAGAAATGGAAAAATAGCTTTATTAACGCAGCTTGGTTGAAAAATATTTCAAAACAGTCTAGGATTAAAAAATATATATGATTTTAAAAAAATAAGCAAGGGCTGATCAGCCCCACCTGGCCATCCTGACAGGTCAGACACCAGTGAAGGCAGTGTGAATGAGGCTAAGTGGAACCAGAAGTCAGGCCTTCTACCCAAACGGGGCTTCTGTATCATTATTGCCCTGGGGGCAGGACCAACATTGGGGTGGCTGATAGTTTCACCCTCTAAGCCAGGCTAGTACAAAATCACTGCACCATCAAGTCCAGACTGAAGCCAATGCCCGGTTTTGCCCTGCTGAAACTACTTTGTGTCTATAATGCAGTAACTGAAAAATTCCCATGACTGTACCTGCACCAATGCCTTTCAACAGAGCAGGCCCTGGACCCCAGCCACCACACTGATGAGGGGAACAGAGTATTACTTCGCAGTGGTCCTCCTGCTACTTGTCCTAGGAGGATGCTTGGGCACCCATGCCCACAGGCAGGACAGGAAGGTCAGCCTGTTCTCCTGGACAGAGAGCAGGATGCTGCTCCTCACCCTGGAATCCTTCACTCCAGGTCCCTTACCCTCTTTCTGACACCTACTTGGAGTGTCTATTTTACCTAACTCATTCTTGTCCTTTAAAAGGCAGATGAGGCCCTGACTTCTCCAGGCTCTCTCTGAACTACACCCCCCCACCCCACCCCCGTCCCAGTCCCAATGCCATGGGACAGTATTTGTTTCTACTAAATTCCACACTCCCCGTGGGCAGAGCTGGTGATTGCCAGGCTCGGAATCTAGTAGAGATGGAGGATGATTTTTAAGTGAAGGAGCAAATGAAATCAGAGAAAGAGGCCCAAGATCCTAAATCAGCAGAATGGGACCAAGTTGTTTTTTAAAACCATGTCCCTCTGCAGGGACCATGAAAGGAGCTGGGGAAGGGAAACAAAAAGACACATTTACATTTTAGTGTCTGCATCAGATTACCTTAAGAGTTTTCCATTTCTTAAAATAATAACAACAATAATTGAACTAACTCCTCCCTAAGTCTCTCACTTGATAACTGAAGTGAAGGGAAGGGAAAGGAAGGGGGAGCAGGGAAGGACTTGCCTAAGCAAACACATAGAAGCAGGCTGACAGGCCACAAACCCAGGCCTTCCGCAAGGATTTAAAGAGAGAATAAACCTTCCACAAGGATTTCCATTGCTCATTTTATTTCAACAGTCAACTGTCCCCAGAGAAGAAATTGCTGACATCATAGGTGCTTTGGAAGCACCATCCTACTCTGTGAGAACTGCATCAGTGCTTACAAATAGCCTACTTTTTTAAGTTGGCAATCACTATAAAAACACCAAATAATAAAACGTTAATACATTTTTCTTAAAACCAGAAATAATGCCTATAAATGGCTTAAACTTTATGGAGGGGAGGTGAAGCAGCCCAGTGGTCACAATGCTTACTAGTAAAGCCCCTTGGAGAAGGGACGAGGGGCAGTGGCCAGGTAGGCCATGGGAGACAGGGCAGCAGAGACGGACACTCCAGAACCTGCTGTCAGTGCCCCGGTCCTGGCTGCTCGCACTAGCCACTGGATGTGTTGGAAGCTTGATGTTTGTGCTGCCCCCAGCCGGGGGCCAGGCAGGGGCAGAAGGCTGAAATACATGGTGCCTCCTGCCCTGCAGTGGGGTCTGAAGAAATCAAAGAACTCCTCTGAGGGAGAGTCGCATAAAGGGTAGCACAGCCCAAAGATGGTTAAATTCATTCCTAAAAGTGAGTTTCCAGCAGCTCCCCACCCCTCAGAGTCCTGGCCCTCTCCTGATAGCTTCCTCCACCATTTTCCAGTTCCAGCCTACATCTCAGGATTGAAACTTAGAAGCCACCCTCTTTCCTATCTTGAAATGGGAATTAACTCTATCTTATATCTATCACTATCCTCCTTCCCTGCACATCACTGAACACAGACAAGAAAATCATTGCTGTCACCCCTCCCAATGCCCCATTTTGCTGGCCCGAGGGCCTGGGCCTAGTTGGACTGCTCCTGAGACGATGGCTGGCTGGGCTCACGAGGCACCTCCGCATCCTGGTCATCTGCAAAGAACAAAAGAGAGGCACTGCATTTAGAAATAGGAAAAATTATCTATTTTCAGGTGTAAGTTTTCTACAAGGCATTCTCATCATTCCCAGGCCCTAAAGAGAATTAATTTGCCTTGAATTTGCTAGGTGCCAGGAGGAGGTAATTCTAGTCCTCATATGATACAGGCTCAAGTACAAACTCTAGTTCTGCCTGTCACCAGCTGGTGGCATGAAACAAGCTATCCCAAAGCTCTGAACCACAGCTCCTCCTGTCAAATGAGATGATACCTACCTACCTTGCAACTTCCAGTCAGTGTGGGGATCAGGTGAGACAGTGAGAACTAACTTTCACTAATGTCTTCATTGTTTCAGACTCTGGTTAATCCTCAGAATAACCTCATGAGGTAGGGAGCATTATTAGTCCACTTTTACAGATACTGAAACTGAGGCACTAAGGAATGAATTAAATTGCCCAAGGTCACATAGCTGGTAAGGGCTGGAGCCAAGGCTTATGCCCAGGCTGTCCAGCACCAGAACCGGCATGCTTCAAGCCACACTAGGCCATCTCTCCAGCTAACAAGTCTAAGCATCTCATACACAGCAGGTGCGCAACAGGCCTCAGTTTCGCCTCCGTAAAATGAGAATGATATCACCAGACTAACCTCAGGGGAAGATTGAAAGGAAAAAAAATCCTTCAATGTAAAAGTAACACAACCTAGGGATGGTTAAATTCATTCTGCAATGCAAAGGGCCCTCAAAAAAAAAACAAACACCCAAAGCATTTTCACATCTGAAATTTCAGCTGACCTTCACAGTAACCCTATGAAGGGGCCCATTTTACAGATGAGAAGACTAGAGAAGGGTATGTAAGTGACCCAGATCACCCAGTACACCAGTGGCAGAGCTGAGGACAGGGTTTCTAGCTCATGAGGTTCTCTCTCCAGAATGCCCTGAAGAGAGGAATCATTCCTACCAGACCCAAACCAGTTCCTGCTGCTGCTCTAGGCTCAGCATTTGCTGCTTCTCCAGTCAAAGGCCTGGTACCTGTTCTGAGCACACTGCATACACACCTTCCTCTATGTCTTTGTCCATGAGCACTGATAGAGCCAGAGAATTCTGTTGAAATCTGAGCTCTGCCATTTACATCTACAAGAATCCCTTAGGGTTCTATTGGTTTCCCCACTTGAGAATGCGGTCCCACCTCCTTGACACTTGCCTATGGCATTTAGGGGAGGGGTGTAAGGAAAGAGCTTATCCCAGGTCTGACACATTTTAATTCTGTTCTCAATTTCCCGTCCACATCTACTTTGATTAGCCTCGCTTTCTCCAGAAAGTCTTCCTGGCTCCCTCACAAACTAGAAGACTGGTGCTCACTTACCAGTGGTCTCCTGGTCCGTATCAGATAGGACAGTCAGCGAGAAAGACGCTGGTGGTGGTGGTGGTGGCAGTGGTGGAAGGAAATGGATCCCAGAGAGGAAGCCTGGTGGGAGGAACTGGGGCTGTGGTGATAGCGGTGGTGGCAGCAGTGGTGGCGGCAGCAGCGGCGGCGGGGGGTAGCTTGGCTGGAAGTCTTCAACTGGCTCCTGCATGGTACACTCAGCAGAGAAGCCAGACAGGAGGTTAGCCAGATGGGCTGATCAAACCTGACCCATTCTCCCAAATGGGGGGGCTCCCATGGGCTAGATCTGCCTATGTGGCCCAAACACCTGGACACAAGGCACTTGAAATGGGGCGTTCAGCAAACATCCACCAAATGATTGAAGGCAAGAAGGAACACAGGCACACCTCATATAAGCCTGGGGAACAGCCATTTAGTCACACTGACTGAGCCTTTCTATCTTTGCTTAGACACATTACCTCATTTCATCCTTATGACCCAAGGAGGGTGGTTCTCTTACCATCCTCATTATAATGATGAAAAACAGGGTCAGTGGAATAAACTACAGCCCCAGGGCCACAGAGCTGATGAGTGACTGAGGCAGAACTGGATCCCAAGTCTACCTGACCCTACTGCTCTGGGCTGGGCCAGGGTCTGAATGCATTCCCAATCACTTGTGGTCCCATTGCCTGGCACATGTAATGACATAGTCTCAAGAGTCAGGGGGTCTTCTCCTGGGTGCAGTGCAGCTGTTACTGAGTCAGAAAAGCTGGGTGACCTCACGAAAAGTGGCTTCAGCCATCAGCCATTCTGTGCTTGTTACTTCCTCAGAAGACGGAAGTTAACTCCATGCCACAGGATCTCAAGGCTGGAAGGAAGGGATCTGGAGGGGTGATGGCTACATAGCTCAATAGCTCAAAGTTTAACAGAGAAAGACATGAATGTAATAAAAAATAGTAATGAATTTCAGATGTAGTTCCTATTATTTACTTCTCCATCCAGATACTTTACAGCAGCACTTCACAAGCTGTGTTCCGGAGAACCCTGTAGTCCTCCAAGATATTAAGAGCTCTTAAGTGTTCTTTGTCAGGGTAGTTTGAGAAAACTCACATACTGCCTCCACAATGGTGAGTCACATTTGAGCATATTAAAGCTTCGAGGCAGTATGCAAAAATCTCCTTAGATTAACCCAGCATTTCCTAATTTAATTTGACCACAAAGAAGGGAAGAAAGACTATTTTTAAGTACCTACTGTATGCCAGACCCTGTGCCAGGCACCTTACATGCATTACACCTTAGTTAATCTATCAATGGCCCCACAAGATAGGTACTTTTACCCCCGTTGTACAAAGAACCTGAGGTCCTTAGAGGTAGGTGACTTCCGCAGACCATATAGCTAATAAAAAGAAGTAGGATTGGACCCCAGGTCTGTCCAACTCCAGGCCTGCGATCTTTTGTGGGAAGAGAACAAAGGAAGCAAAGCAGCAGCAGGTGGCACAGAGACAGGAGAAGGTGGAAGACGTCTCTTGGGAGTTTCTGGGAGCTTGGGCACGGGGAGCAAGACAAGGAGGAAAGCATTTCATAGGCTCTTGGGTTTGAAACGGCTTTACAAATAAATACTGGATCCTCTATCCAGACATAAAGGGGGTAGGAGGGGGATTATTAGAGCTTTAATTCCAAGCTACTGGGCCAAGTTTCTCCCTGGATCACAGCTCCTGCCTGGGGCCCGTGGTGGCAGCTCAGGCCCAGAGAAACCAACTGAGATCACACTCTTAACAATGGCCGTCTGGCAGGCCTGTCAATCAGAGCCCTGCTCTGGGCCCCGGGCTCCAGGCTTCTGTGTGAGCAGACGGTGTGTGTGTGCTCCACTTGGCCAGAACCCCTCTTTGTGTGGAGGCTAGAGCCACCATGCTGTCCCTGGGCTGCAAGGGGGTGGCCAGCACCCACAGATTTCAGGTGGGGCAGGGTGGTGGTGAGAGTCTTGTTTCCTCTACCTCTGTCTGAGAGACAGGCTTAGGGTAGCAGAAAGCACCTGGGCTCCAGAGTCAGGGGAACCCAGGTATACATCCTGTTTCCGTCACTGACCTTCTGTGCAATTTTGATCCCAGTCCCTCACTCACCAGTTTTGTGACCTTGGACAAATACATAACTTCTCTGAGCCTCCTTCCTCTACTCTACAATGGAATAATAACACGTGCCTTGAAGGCTCAAATAAGGGTCAGTGGGCACCCTAGAAATGATCAAGACCAAGGGGCCTGACACGGAGTGGGCACACCAACTGGGATTGAGCATATATATGTAAGAGCAGCAGAGCAGGTGGAATAAAGAGGAACCTGGAAAGCAGTCAGGATGGGACTCACCGAGCCTCCTCCATGGTAGTGGCTGAAGGACACATGCCGGAAGCCCTGCTGCAGGGGGATCCCCAGGCCCGGGGATGGATCCTGGTAGCCCATCGGGAATGAGCGATAGGAATACATGCTGGAGCAGCTGGGATACAGCTTAGAAGGCTCTCTCTCCAGGTACTCAGACCCCACCACAGTATCTGAGTTGATGCTCAGAGAGAGCCCTGAAAAGGAAGGCAATGAGGGAAGTATTAAAAACACAAAGAGCTGGGGGGAAAAGCATCGCAATACTGTCCAAAGACAGCAGTATAGTAAACACTCAGATCCGTGTACAAAGAACTCCCACATCCATTATACTTTTGACGCTCCCTGCTTTTTAAACCTTTCAACCATGTCCCACTGTTCTTAGAAAAAGTCCTCAGCACAGTCATGAAGCCCCATGAGGGCTGATTCCTGCCTTCACTCCAGCCTCCTCCAGTATTATAACCTAGCAGTTCCTTCTTTCTCATCCACCTCAAAGCCTCTGCAGATGCTGTTCCCTAGTCTAGGAAGGCTTTCTCCCCTAAACCCATTTTGCCTTTCAAGTCCTCAGTACTGTTTCTACTCTTCTTTAAGACCACAGCTAAGCCATTAACTATCAGAGTTCCATACACTGATTTGTGTGATTCTTTGATTAGTGCTGTTCCTCTCACAAGGACAAGACCTTTGAGGGCAAAGACTCTGACCCCCCCCACACACCTTTTCATCACTAGTGTCTGGCACACAGTTAAGTGCTCAGTCTCTGTTCATGGAGAGAGGGAACAAAGGCAGGCACTGTGTCGGTGCAAAGGTATTCTTCTCTTATAGGGTGGCTGTTTCAGATCTGTCTTCCTCATCTAAATTCCCTAGGGACCAAATTTTCCTAGACTACCCCAAAAGACAGAAATGGCCTTCAGGGAGCATCCAAGCCAATTTCCTTAGCACATACAGGAGAGAGACTGACACAGAAAGAAGCAACTTGCCTAAGGTGACAGAGTGAGCAACCCCCAGTCTCCTGACTCAGACTTGTGCTCTTTCTATCACACACCATAGGGAAAACCAACAGGGGTCTGTACTCAAAAACAGCCGTGGTTTTGTTGTTGTTTTGTTTTTATTTTATTTTTTAAATCCTCACCTGAGGATATTTTTTTCCATTGCTTTTCAGACAGTGGAAGGGGGGGTGAGAGATAGGTAGAAATACCAATGTGAAGCAGACACATGGGTTGGTTGCTTCCCCCAGGTGCCTGGGACCAGGGGGAGCCTGCAGTCCAGGTAGGTAGGTGCCTTTGACCTCAACCCTTCAGTCTGCAGGCCCATGCTCTAACCACTGAGCCAAACAGGCTAGGGCAAAAACAGCCATTTTTTAAAAGCCTCAGACCTACATGTGACTTGAAGTTTTACTTTAAGAATGAAAGTATAATTTACATTGTTACATAAGGAACAATGTAACTTATACACACGGTGCAAAGGAGAAAAATAGTAACTCAAAGAACCAACTCTCTCCTCCGTGGAGCAGAAAAGCTGTACCATTCCCACCCACGCCCGGGGAAAGAGTGGGAAAGGGTAGAAATGATGTGCGCAGGCGCACTGAGCCAGGGCTCGGCCTCCAGGGTGCACACAGCCGCAGTCACGGTCGAGAAAGCACTTCCGCAGGAAGTCATGTGAGCGGAGCTGCGGGCCCAAGAAAAGAGCGGGAAAAGGCGCGCAGGCGGATGGGAGCAAGGCACAGTGGAACGGAGGGCCTCTGGGAAAAGCCTCCAGCCCTTGGAAATGGGGGGCGGGAGTGCGCAGGCGCGGTGATAATTGCACTGGCCCACCCACAGAGACGTTCTGGGAGGAGGCGCCTCCAGCCCAAGAAAAGGGCGGGAAGAGGTGCGCAAACGCAGTAGGGCCAATGTCTCTGCGAGAAGAAGCCCCAGGGAAGCGGGCTGGAGGCCATTTTTTTCTTGCAAGATGAAAGGCAAAAATTGTAGCTAAATATTGAAAGCCGTCTGCACCACCCACTCCTTCCTATCTCTTTTATCTTTTTGCAAAAAGGTTCTCAACCCCAATCCGTATTCTGAGGAAGGTTTCTCAAAGCAAGTTTACCTCAGAAAGTACTTTCCCCACCCCCAACCCCAAAGTCCCTCCAGGGACGCCAGCATGGGGTGCGGGAGACTGCAGCCTTGAGAGAAACCCACGGCGGGACAAGGCCGTGTGGGGCCTGGGACTCTTACCGAAGGCGAACGGCGGGCTGGGCACGGGCCGCAGAGGCCTGCGCATCTCCAAGTGGCCAGGGCCTCCCCTGCCTGCGGCCTCCGCCCCGAGCTGGGGCCCTACAAAACCGGGCATGGCCACGGCAGCTCGGTCGCTTGGACCCATGTGGCCGCGACCGGCCACAACTGGCTGGAAGGCACTAGGGCCCGGGCTTGGGCCGCGCGGTGGTCTCTCCAGCAAGTAGGCGGCCGCACGGCCCTCGGGGCCCGGCTCCACTTCTCCGGAAGCGGCAAGCGGAGGCAGCGGGCGGAGGCTGGAAGCCGGGGCGATAGCCGCGGCCCGGGAGGCCAGCTCCTGGTCCTCTTCGGAGGCCTGCTTCTTGAGCATCTTCTGCGCGGCCATGATCTTCTGGCGTTCGGTGATGAGGTAGCACTTCTCGCAATTGCACTGCTTCCAGCGGCACTTGCCTGCATGGCCCTTGACTGCCACCAGGTAACCGTGATTCCGGCACCGCGAGCAGTTGGGGGTGCGCAGCATCTTGTCGGCCAGCTTGGCGGGGTCTGCCATCGTAACACAACCGCCGCCTCTGGGAGCTGCAGAGCGAGTGAGGCGGGGAGGAGCAGAGCCCCAGAAGTCCCTGGTGCAGGGGACACTGGATACACTTGTAACAAAGTGGTTCTCAGTACATCCCCGGAACTGCAGCAAGACCCTTGCATTTTCCCAACTTCGGGGGGGTGCACAATTTGGAGTTTCTGCGCCTTAATTGTATACAAGGGATTGAGTTGAGTAAGTTCTACATGGAATGCTATTGCATATATGTCATCTGGGTTATCTGAAGGTTTAGGCATTTAATTTTCCAAAGTTTCTATTCTTGTTACCCCCGAGACACGGTATTTTGTAACTTCAAAATAGGGGGAGTGATATTCAGTGGTCCACAGATTTAAAGCTCCAGAGGAACGTCGCTCTCAGTAAACCCGTTCCAGGAGAAAAGCATTCCAAGATGAAAACAGTGTTTCTCCTTCCAAAAGCTGCTGCTTCTGCAACATTTCATTTCTCTCCCCTGCAGAGAAGCAGCCATTCACAGTGATGCTTCTAGAATATTCTCAAGAGCTCAGTGCAGAGTGATAGTTGCTCAAGGGTGTGTCCTGTTAGTAGTTCCCATTTAAGAGTCTTGTTGGTATAGGAGTTCATTTCTGGAAGATGGCGTGTTGCTGTGTGTTGATGTCTTCCCAAGTAAAGCATATTTAGAATGCTTTAAAGTAAAAGGATATTTTAGCATTAGTTTGAATCATTGCTTAACTTTGCCATGAATTTAGTTATACCTGTAAAACAACCCAAATCTTGGGACGCCTAAAAAGCTGGCATAAATTTCATAGTTTCCCAAGGCCACTAAATTACTTCATTTTCTTGTTTGATAGAAAATTTTAACACCCTAGGGTTTTGTGTTTGTTTTTTGTTTGTTTCAGGTCCCAAAAAAGAAAAAGAAAAAAAAGGGGCCACTCATACCCCAAATTGAAAGCTTATAATCATAGAATCAATCATATTTAAGGAGGTAGCTATGGTTAACACCTGATTAAAACATGTGCACTTTAAATTGCCTTTTCTCTGAAACTCTCTCTAGTCGCAGAATAGTAGAAGCTAAGGCCTAATGTCCACCTTTATTTTCCTGTGCCTCTGGTTGCAGCAGAACTATGCACATCTCACCAGCTGCCTGAGACTAGGAAATGTTTGCCACTCTGAGGCTGATTATGTACTGGAAGGCTGAAAAGGGGTTTGTAAAGCCTCTTTTTCTGATTTAAAAAAATATATTCCTATCTTATTAAGAGGGCAGGAGTATATCCTTCTCTATTATTTGGCCCTTCAGGAATTTCACTAGTCATTTTACATCCATTTAAAGAGATCTAGGTTTGTCTCTGCTTTGTTCTAACATCCTCTGTCTTAATTTTTTATTTAAAAAGCATGGTCCCATAAATAAAACGACAGGCAAGCTCTTTTCTGTCTCTACCCAATTCAAAATATCTAATTTTTTAACTGACCCTGTCATTTGAAAGTGGTACTTAAAAATCATAGTTTCAGTACTTCTGTCAAAAAATCTGGGGCATAAGCTTCATTGTTTTATAAGGTAATTTTCTGCATTATCAAATTAAAATTTTTAACATCAGGTGACATCAGATGATAAGACCTAAAAAAGAAAAGCACTCTCATTTATATTTTATACTTGACCACCCAAGCGCTCTTCATTTTCCTATTAATGATTTAAAGTAAAATCCTATTCAAAGCCAACTATTTGAATTAACATATTTTAGCCTTGTTAACTACAAAACGCTTCCATATTTACTTCATAGCTTTAGGGACAAAATATACCCAAGATGATGTGAATTTGCATAGTGCTTTGAGAACATTAACAAACAACCATATATCTTTTTAATCAGTAGTCACATTGTAAGATGTAGAAACCCCAGGGTTTATACAATAAATAAATCTAAGAAAAAAAGAGACTAGTTTATTTCTCTTCCTTGACAAAAATCTCAATTTGTGTAGGTAAATTCCAACAGAGCTTTATTTATTTCACTCTTGGAAATTGAGGCAAATGGGTAGTTTTGTTTTATTTAGCTTGAGGACTGATTACTTCTTAGGCTGCTGCTTTTCTAATATACACATTTCTTTAAATTGTTCCTTAAAAAGATGGTAACAGATGGTAATGACATATAAGTGAAAAACTGGAAGTCAAAAGAATGGGAGCAATAAGTACACAACATTCTCCTTCCTTCCCCACACCTAAACCTTAGGAAATTTATGTTTAAGAAAGTTTGCATCATCCTAAGCAATGGTTTATAAAACAACAAGTTATAGTTGCTGAGGAAATCAGCAGTTTGACTAATTAACTATAAAAGGTCTGGTTTGTGGTCTGACTGACTCCCAGCTTCAGTAGTGGCCCCTTTTCCCTCAGAGTCCCAAGTTTCCTACCTTGAATTATGTCTCTTCTCTTTGGTTAATATGGTTGCTATTGGTACTGTTTAATTCATATTCATTTTAAAGAACCCTGTATTATGCAATACATGGGGTATCATTTATAATCATTAAATATTGCATGCACTGTGATGTTTCCCTACTGTTAGCACACAGTAAGGAAGGCGTTTTTTGCTAATAGCAGCTATAACCCAGGTATCTGCTATCTTCCCCTTCTTCAGGCTCTCTCGAGTGAGCAATGAAGTTTACTGAAGATTTTGTAGGGAATGGAGGGGAATGTCACATCCTATAGTCGATGCTTTAAAATCCTGCCTAAGCATTTCTGTTTTCTCAAGATCCTCTTCTGCTGTGCCACACCCATTGGAGAGACACTGGTGTCTTCCCTCTCCTCCTCCTTTCCCTTACCCAGCCTTTCTAGCTTCTCTTTCCTGAATCTTTGAGAACTCTGTAACAGCTGTGACTATCTTATTTTCCTTTATGTCTAGCACAAAATAGACATTCAGTTAATATTTGTTGAATGATTATATGAATCTTGCCTCCCTCTCCTGCCAATGTCAAAGTTATAATTGGCAAAGCAAATCAAGTTGGCTTCAGCCATTTTTCCCAAACATTGAAAAAAACAGAAAGTCCAGAGTGAATAGGACCACTTTCCTGACAAGCAGAATTTGGGGGAAAACTTTGGTTCCTTAAATTCACCCCTATTCCTGATGTTTTTATAACAGCAATAGTAATAGCTAGCACTAAGTGTCTATATGTGCCAATAATTCTTAAGTCCTTTATGTGTATTAATTCATCTAATCCCCACACCAACCCTCGAAGGCAGGTGCTATTATTTTTACCCTTATTTTATACATAAGAAATTGAGGCCTAGAGAAGTTAGGTAACTTGCCCAAAGTTTTACAGCCATTAAATGGCAGAACCATGATTAAAAACCAGAAAATCTATCCTCAAATTCCATGTTCTTAACCATATATCTGCTAACTCAATATTTCTTTTAAACAAACACAGTGCTCTCCTTAAGAAAACTTTGGTGAATAGAAATGTCTGTTGTATTATATGCTCCATTACAGTTGGGGCAAAAAGGGGTGAATGTGGTAGCAGCCTGGGGAAAGTTTGTAGGACACCCTGCTTACTTGTTTTCCTCCACCCATAGTTGATATTTATTGAATACCAACTATGTGCTAATCATAAGGGACACCGAAGTATATAAAAAGACAGGATCCTACCTTTAGGCATACATTCTAGCTGGCAAACCATACAGTAAATAATTCCAAATGAAAGGGGAATGGCAGGGGTAGAGGAGGGAACAGGATACTATGAGAGTCCTAACCTGGATCAAGAAATTAAGGAAGTCTTCCTTGAAGGGCTGATTTCTAAGCTGAGGTCTAAAGGTTGAGCAGGAATTAGCCAGGTACAGGATCAGGAAAGGTGTGTTTCTGACAGAGGGAACAGCATATTCGAAGGCCTGCTATAATACAGTGAGGTCAGGAAACTGGAAAGAGATGAGGTGTAGAGGTTAAGCAGTAGCCAGGTCTTGGAGGGAATCTTTGGGGAAAAAGATAGGAGTTGCTATCTAAGACTAAGGAGAGAAAATGACATGGCAAGAGCCAGCCAAACTAGAATCCACATATCCAGACTTCTATTCCCTGCCCTTGGTTTTTCTTTCAGAAAGTGGAACAATAAGTAACTAGGACTTGCATAGGTATTGCATTATTAAAATGGAGTTGAGTGGGGGTTTGGGGAGATGGGTGGCCCAGGTGGGGCACATAGTCAAGGTTAATTATAGCCCTGAACTAGTTCAATGGTAGACAGGATTGTTCCTCCTAACCCTTGCTGACTGATTCATATGAGCCTCCTAGGAATCATAAAGAGGCTAGGCACAAAGCAGCAGTGATGGAAGACAAAGGAGTGAGAGAAAAGAAGAGATGAAATCAAACAGAAAGCAGTTGAAGTGGTTATATATAGGTAAAGACTGGAACAAACAATTATGTGGAGCAGATAAAAAGTACATCAGGGCAGAGAGGGCATGCTCAAAGTGATATTGTTAGCTGAATTAGACTCAATAGTACTGATATTTGGTTTTGTTTTTACTTGCTAATTTGATGAAAAAAGTATTTTTACACACAGAAACGTTCACAAAATATATATTAGAATATGTGTACTTTTGATAGTACTATCAAATTTCTGTAAATATCAAGAATTTTTTATCTTAAAAGATACAAGGCACATGTCCTGTAAATACATTATTAAAAGGGAATAATAGCTTTAATATCTCTGTTCTTTGTTCAAATGCAAATTCAATTTAACACAGCATGTATAAATTTAATGCCAATATATGCAGGGCACTATTTCCTAGTAAAATTAAGAGTCAAAAAGAACAAAGGAACAAAGAAAATTAAATTTAATCTCCCTTTTTCTATGTATGTTCATTATCTAGTTTCTTAGAACACTAAATTCCTATTTATTAAGAGAGAAACCATTAAATTCCTATTTATTAAAAAGAGAGAATGAGTGAGAGAGTGCCCAGAATTCCCCCCTGAATTCTGCTTTTATGAAAATGGCAAGCAGATATCAGGAATTTATCTTTCAAGAGACCG